TGTCTGAGGGTGTGAAGAGTGTGAAGCTAGAAATCGAATGGGTTAGGCTTCATTAGCTTTAACATTTAAAAGGTTTCACTTGAATATCTCTAATTGCACATCAGATATTTAAAATTCTGACTAGTCAAAATTACAATGTGACTAGTCAAAGTTATAAATCAAGATATCTACAACTGGATCCTGACAATTACAGTAAGAATGACAATGTCAGATACCGACAATTACATTTCAACTAGTAACAGTTCCTTTTTGGATTTCCAAAATTACTTCACTGCCCCCTTTTAGCATTTATTAGATTGACAGAATTCATATTACAGATATCTACAGTGTATTTACGACTAGTCAAAACTATTATTTAAGATATCTGCAATTCAATTATGACTAGACAAAATTTGAATTAAAGATATCTGTAATTACATTTTGACTAGCAAGAATTGGATTGTGTGTAAAAATGTGTGTTATATCAACTGTTTTATATGCTTGAAAGAATAAATCAAATCAAATCAAATTCCTCATTGACTTGAATGTGAAAACTAATTTGAGATATCTACAATTCAGTTCTGCTTATCTGAAATGTAAATTCCACCTATCTGTAATTAGATTCAGACTAGTCAAAATTAAGATTAAAGTCATCTTTAAAGTAATTTTGACCAGTCATATGACTAGTCAAAATTCAACTGTAGATATCTGAAATTTGAGTTATGACTAGTCAAAAAGTCATTGCAAATATTTTATATTGTAGTTTGGACTAGTCTTAAATACATTGTATCGATCTAATAAATGCTAAAATGGTACAGTGAAATCAGTGATGTCATTTCGGATATCCAAAATCACATGACTAAGGTGATTGCGAATATCAACAATGTAACTGTAGATATCTTGAACTGTCATTCTTGCTATTCAGAATGTAATTGTATATATTTAAAATTCTAGATTTGACCAGACACATTGTAAATTTGACTAGTCAAAATGCAAATATATACATATCTGAATTGTAATTATGGTCCACCTATTTAATCTTAAAGGGGCTTGCCATACAGTTAGTGAAGCAGTAGAGGAACTAGAGAACTCATGGTCGTCTTATGCTTTAAATGAGCCAACTTATTATTGGTGACCTTCATATGGGCTGGTTATCTTGCAGAGCTGACAAGCTAAGGGATGTCTGCCTTGAACTATATTGATCCAAAGCCACTAGACCAAACTAGAAGAAATTCTGCTAAATCTATATTAATTGATCTTATTCTAACACACACACCTTACAAGTACTGTGCTTCTGGTGTTCTTACTCTGGACATCAGTGATCACAGCCCAGGACAAAACTATCATTACTACAAAAATAAATTTAAAACATTTCAATGCACCAGAACTACTCAGGAGCTGCACTACTGGACTTCATGCTCCTTTTAAATGACTGTGAATAAAAAAATAGGCCCAACTCCAAGTTTTCTCTTGAACCTGCTCTGGACATACATAATAGAAATAAACTCTGGTCTAAAAGCTTCTGGCACAAATACTGACAGCTAAATAATGACAACTACAACTCTCCTACATGTGTAGGGTTGTTGTGGACTGGAATTGACAACAAGGTGAAGGTCAGGTCAGGAAATTGTGTCTTAAATACCCCTGGGGGTTGTTGTAAGCCTGGTTAGTAGGAGTGTGAATATACACACATTTTAAATCACCAGTAGAAAATGATACATCTGATTTTGTGATCAGAAATGAATGCACACATTGCTCAGAAACAAAACTACATATGCAGTTGATAAATGAGGCCCTGGGGCTTTATATAGCCATCATCCACTCCCATCATCATGTGATTTGAGTTTATCATAGGTTAATATGTATGAATGCAATCTGCAGAGTAAGCAGGAACTACAGCTGTCACATTACAAATAAGAACTAATGAACAAGTACATCAAAAATTGTACTTAATATAACAGTTCATATACTTAGTTACTTTGTATCTCTCAAAACATCAAAGAAGACACAGACACATAAAAGGAGTTTATTTCGATGGCTGTTCAGCCATGTTTACTACAGTATTGTTCCCATCTACAGTTATCAGCACAGCTTGTTGAGTTCTTTTTTTAACATTGTCATAGATATTTTCACAACTGGTTTATTTTTCTGCTCATTCACTCAGAGGATGTTTAAGCAGCATTATAAAAAAAGAGCGCATCCTTACATACATACTGTACATACAATACATACATACGAACCAAAGCAGACATACTCGTACACACACATTCTAGTATAGTGCCACTCTGGTATATACAGATATATAGAATGAGTAAAAAAAAAAAAATCTATTTTCAGTTTTTACATCTTATATAAGAGTCATATCAAAGACATGGCCACCGAGTGAGTAAACAATAGATAAATAGATATAAAACAAATACAAAAATAAATAAACATAAATACTTGCATCAATTAATAAAAGATGATTTGAGTTTTTAACTCACTTTACTTTATAACGTTTTTGTTCAAGTCGATATATAATCAATGCACCACTTTTAACTGTTTTGTTACCTCAACAACAAAGGACTGATGCACTACCCAATCAAAGAAGGCGAAGCCTCACCCTTGGCCCATGACTGGGTGGTTTACATATGTATTATCTGTACATTAGCCTATCATGTTTGACATGACATGATCATGTTTGACAAAGAGTCGTTGTTTGCAGCACCATTAACATCATCTTGACTGTCATCACTGTACTAACATCAACAAGTTCAGGTAGGACACAACACTGTCCGCATTATTGAACTGTATTAATACCAATATTACTTTTTTATTTGTATTCCTGATTTTTGATTTTTCTGCAACACCCACCAGAGTTAAAATGACACATTTCCCCCATTAAGGAAACACATACAGTTACAAACATTGTTAGGGTCAGAGTGTGTATGTATATTCTTGTTTTTAAAATGCATATGAGTACACATGTATCCCACCATTCTTCAGTGTTCATTGCTCATGTTTTCAGAAACTGATGCAACACATCCCCAAGATGCAAATAGACACATAAATATTGTGTCCAGTGAAGTACTGTAAGGTCAGCAGCAGACTCAGCTCAGATGACCACAACAGTGGAAAGTCTCAAAAGCAAACTAATGGAACATGTCTGCAATTACTCACATTTAAATGATGTGTCGGCCACCTTTTGAATCTTGAGCTGAACATTAACCGCTGAAAAATGTCAGCAAAGATTTTGATCTAGGCTGCAGGGCAAGTTACCCTGACTCCTGTCCTCAAGGTCATGAAAGTTGTGGTGATTAATATGAACCTGAAAAAGTGGCTCCTAATGACATTTGTTGACCACTTACCTCTCTAGCATCACCATCAGGTCAGAAATTTCACTGATATATATAAATATCTGTTCCCGAGGAAGATATTCAGGTCTCAGCTCGGGAGTGATTCTGCCCTTATTTATGTGCCCTAGTGGAAATATTTTTAATCATCCAGGTAGACAGAAAACAAATAGGCAAATGTGTGAAAAGTGCTGCTCACATCATAGGTCTAATCTACATCAACACATTGCTGAGTTGATCTTGGTGACTTGCTCCCACTGACCTAAGGTACACAACAAAACTATATTCCCTCGAACCGCTTCAACACTTCAGAATATATACATGCATCATCAGCATAAAAGTGATCATTAAAACTGGTCTGATACTGCAACAACAAATGCATTTTGGTCAGCCCCAGATAGCAGCAGGAGAGAACAGTTTGAATTGTTAACTTTACTATGCAAAAAGGCAAAATGCACACTGCTCTAATCTACAGTATTTTGTCACCCTGCCCACAAGGGTGTAGAGCGGAACAGGTTCAACAGTTTGTTGAACAATGGGAATCTAAATAATTATGAATTCATAGCCATTTCACAGGAGTTTAGTAATGTGCCATAATTAGATTTTTGTGCTTGTGACAGTCAACACTGAATTGTGACCCCCTGAACACTGGCTTCTTCTAAATGCTTGTAACCTAAAAATCTAGCTATAACAGCTACTAAAAACCAGTTAACTTATATCAAGAACCAGGAGCATTTATCATCAAACAGATAAACATGCTTTTTGAGATGCATCAGGGTCACAGCGAATGTTATATTTATTTATTTATGCAACAAATCAAACCGCCTTAAATGCACAGTCTAACCCTAAAGACTTTTAAAGGAAACAAATGTCTTTGAAAAGAACTTTAAAGAGAGGCTGCTGAAGACAGATTTGTTGAATAATATTAGAGAGGACAGACGTTAGCTGTGATGCTAGTTTATATTGTTTTTTAATGAGCCCATGGCACGTTTTCTGACTTATCTACAAGGTTACAATGAATTATCATCTTAAACATGACTGAAAGCTCAAAAAAAATGCAGAGTACCTATGTTGCTGTACTTCTGTGCAGAAGCAGCTTGGTTTATACAAGTCTCAGACTCTTGCTAGCAAGAGTTTTTTTCCAACTATGTAAAGTCTTACACAATAGTTTACAGATTTCCTTGAATGGTCATGTTCTCCTGACTGTATGCGTTGAGGAGAGCTTGCCTGACATCCAGTGATGTGGAACAAATACAGGGCCTGAGGTTATTGGATGTCCAGGAATTTTCCTTTACAGGGACTCGCTGTCTTATCTGACTGGGTCTAACCTACAAGCAGCCGGTCAGTGAAACCCCTTGTGGTGACTGATCAGCTCATCAATGCTGGATTCCCTCGGAACAAAGTACCTGTTTGTTTTGACTGCTTGAGGCCAGTGTGTCTGCCGCATGCGTTATTTTACGGGTTGGTGAGAGGATTCCAATGATCCATGCTGTTACTGTTGTTGCTGTCATTGCAAGGCTACCTGTTGGAATTAATTTTACTAACGTGAGGGATTTGTAGAGGAATATGCAGCGATCACCGCTTTGTTTAGAATGTTACAAATGTCTTTTCATCAGTACATATACAGTTGTTTACCCATCTATGGAGGAGAAATTCAAATTAATTAGTGCTGCTATGGTTCGTTGTGCTGTCCACTTTCATATTCTGGCTCAAACATGTCAGGTAGGATTTGAGGTACTGTCATAAGTTTTTTGTTTATTCATTGTCGGAGCTTTCTGACCAGCAACGGGATTTGTCTACTTTCATGAACTATCCTGTCATTTTTGGGAGGAGGCTCTCCTTGTGCTATCAGGTTTTATCCTTCTGAAATACAGTAATTACAGACTGTCTGGAGTTATGATGGGTACAAAGCTAATCTAGCGGTACCCAAGATTAAACATTAGATGGCTGGAAATGAGCATGTCAGGGGCTCTTTAACTGTTCTTCCTTCAGGTTTAGTTGCTGACCATGCTTGACTTTTGTAGCATCCATCTGCTTTCAATTGATAGTAATGCTCAGTTACACCTGGGAGCTGCCATGTTTAAACTTCAACCACTGAAGCTAATTACTGATCTGCTCCACTAAATGTATTCAAGTTAGAGCTCCTTGCTTGCTCTAACTTGCTCCTAGAAGCAAAGAAAATTCATCATCAGTTCTTCATACCTTTGTTTGTTTTGCCAGTCTATTGATGATCAGGTTTATCTTATCTGTCCAAGCCTGAATCTACTATGTACTACTTTGACTCAAAGTACTGCGCTGTACATGGTTTCATTTTGTAAACAATAACACCTCGCAAAAAATTCAAATATCTTGTCAACATCCTATACAGTATGTAACAAGAAATAAACAGCTATTGCTAACAAGCTATCTTGCAAAAATGTCATGGTACTCAGCATCTCCGCAGTGTTCTTTGAGCATATGTTTGTTTATTGTATTAAACACTTATACATATGTTCAAAATACCCTTCCAGAAATCTTTGGGGTCTGTTGATGTGATTACAAGATGATTTTTTTAGCTACTGTTCTTCCTAAAAGCCAAACACCAAAAAATGTTTTCATAGCATAATGAGGTTGCTCATGATTCCCTTCATACCCTTACATGTTATGTATCTTAAGAAAAGTGGACAACTCTGGATGACATTTAGACTCTTATGAGTAAATGGAACTTCTTCACCAAAAAGTCACTCATTACCTAACTACAGCTTATTATAATAGCTTATATCTGACATCTGTATTTAATCATCTGTACATTCCAACCCTAATTATGGTGTATAGCATGCCATATGGTGGTAGCCACTGCAGAAGTCATCCACTTTACATCCTTAAAACCAGTCCTGATTGATTTTTGCAAACAAGTTCAAACATCAGTTTGGGGGTGAGAGTGCAGTTGGAATGTAAACAATAGGACCTTTGCTATGGCTGCTTTTGTAACATTTATGGATGGATGACTTATCTCAGGCCTATATTTCATAAACCATCTGGATCTAGACTGAGTTCTAAGCCTGCATTGGATGAATTCTTGTGATCTCATGAGACTGGAACCCAGTATTCGAGACTATAGACAGAATGCTTAGAGGATGGTTACCAAATGTTGTGAGGAGGGACATGCAACCTTTTGGAAGCATGTCGGGACAAGTGTAGAACTGATTATCTCTCAGTTTTTGCTAAAACATACAAATCCTTACTTTTCTGAATGTATACTGTTCGAACTCAATGGGTATTTTACCAAATCAATTGGGGGTAAAAAAATGTAGTGTAGTGGTATTGTTAAAACTAAAGAAAGGTTGATTGAAAAGTGAGCCATAGTCATTTACATTCATGTTTTTAACATATTTTATGCTGTAATTATATTCTCCTATCACACTGAGATTTATTTATGTGCTGTCTAAACAAAATATCAAATCTATTATATTACAGGTAAGATAAACCTCTTTTTAAAAAAATCAAGAGATCACTTTTCAGCTTAGCCCGGTTTTAATACAGATGTTTGGGCATGTGTTAGTGTCTAATTTGCTACCAAACCAAAATGTTGGCATGTCCCATCCAAACTTCAGCAACCAGTCTCTAAACGTTATCTGGTAGTTCCAGTGAATCTCTGGGGTTTGAGGCTCGGGTTTTTATGGACTTTTATGGAGTTATTTCAAACTCTGCAACTTTATTGTCCCTAAATCCATTTACTTCTTGTACTGAGCGTGCAAGATGAAACAATGATGAAACTCCTTGGTTGTAGGATGAGAAATTAAATTTCTCGTCTCCAAGCTTTTAGAAAGGATGACAATTATCCCAGTTCATTGTTACTCGATTGCCTTCCCACCCTCGTGCTACTTACTCCCGGACCTTGTCCTAAAGGGGAGAGCCTTGGTCCTAGATTGCACTTCACATTTTAATTAAGTTTTGACAACCTTTTTTTTTAAAAGGGTTGACTGACAGTCTGTCTATTTTCATGCTTCTTATGGCATTGGTAGTCCTGGGATGTGAACTGATCTCTGGCCAAGCCTGGGTCCCAGATTGCATTTTAAAGTTCAAAGAGAGGCAAGAGGCCCCTGTTGACTTAAACAGTTGTCTCATATTCCAACACCTCCTTGCTGCCCATCATGCTACTCCTGTACTGTATCCGTGGGCTGACAGCTGATGTGGTCTCCAGAAGCAGGATGGTTTTTCGCAGGCGCCGATCAATGAAGTGTGCATCCCAGGCTGGATAACGCTTTCTCGGGAGATCAATCCGGATCACAGGGCCCTCCTGTCCCCGTGTCGATGAGGAGGTCCGGTGAAGGAGTGCAGGAGAAGAGGAAGGTGAGGGACGTACCTGAAAGACAGGCAGGCAGCTGTCCCTGTCTCTCTCTCTGTCCCTGTCTCCAGGTACTGGTTCCCCCGTGTCTTTAGTCCTGGGGAGAGTCCTCGGAGGACTCGTAATGACCATGTCTGTTTGGGACCCTTGGGATGGTGTAAGGCAAGCATCTATCACTCCCGCGACCCCTCCTGTCCCCACCATGCCATCATCCACACATCCTCCCCACTGTGAACCCAAAACAGGCCCGTCAGGATGCAGCCAGCAGTAGTAGACCAACATGAAGAAGGTTCCCAGGGCAAAGCTGCAGGCCACCAGGCACACCACCACCAGAGCGTAGGAGTCGGAGGTGTGCGGGCCACGGTATGTGTACCAGGCAGCGGTCAGTGCCACATTCTCAGCCAGTGTTACAGAGTAGTAGACAGTCATGCGGAAGCGGCTGGGGCCTTCCTTCACATTGAACCAGCAGAAGATGTAGATAATGCCCACAACCATGTTGTAGATGATCTCCTCCCACTTGGACATGCAGAAGTCAGTCTCACCTTGAATGATCCAGAAAGTCATAACACACCTGAAAAACAATTAACAATACTACTGGTAACAATATAACTATTTATGTAAACACTGTGATTGGTATGGTAAGAAAAAAATGGTAACTTGATGGATGACAATAATGACTGAGCATTTTCTATGATAATATTAAGATAAAAAATGAGGAACAGAAAATGTTGCCAGTGAGTAATAGGGAATAGAGGAACTGTCATTTGTCCAGGTCACAGGTATTTGTCCCAGAGCCACCTGGGCTTTACGTGTAGCCTTGAAGATACAGTATATCATTCAGGAAGCTTCAGGAGTCCTGGTGATGCATTTTTGTGTAAGAACAGTGTTATTGGTAAAATAAAAAAAAAAAAAAAAAAAACTTAGGTTCTGACTCTAGGAAGTTAACTGGACTACTCCTCAGACTGTTATCCTATTTGTGGAGCGTATTCACAATGTCGATGAATCCTTATACTTAATACTATTGGGCCAAAATGTTCAGTGGTACATAGGAAATATGCTGCCCTATAGCATATCCTATAAACAAAATAACTGCACACAAGATATAATCTGATTGGCTGGTAGCAACAAAATTTAAATACCACATTTATGCATCCAACAATGTTGAAGCTATGTGATGTTACTGAACCTTTAACCAGCACTCTACCTAACCACCTAGAGAGGCTAAATAAAGCACATAGCTTAAATGAACTATCTTAATATGGGGAAATATTGTATATGACATAGCACAAAGTCATCTCCCGAGATGGACGGATGCCTACTAATAATATGGGGGAATACTGTATATGACATACTGTATATGACATAGCACAAAGTCATCTGTGACTTCATACTACAGTTTACCTTCTTTTTTTTTTTACTTTTCCTACCTCAACTTGCCACTAAAAGTGGCCAGGCTGTCAGAGCTCCAAGGCTGTGGAATTCCCTCTCCTTTATTGCATGGCCATTTCTTAATAGATGTGGCTCCTGTGGTTCAGGAGGTAGAATGGTTGTCTGTAACGGACAGTGGGGCTTCCTTGGTTTTGTACTGGGGACAAATTCCTTGTGTGTGTGACATACTTGGCCAATAAAAGTGATTATCATTATAATTTTAATTAAATAAAATGTATCATATGCCAGTTGTGAATAAATGACTTATTTGATATGGCAAACTTGTTACCAAATAGTTACTTATTTACACAAGCATTTAAGGGTCAAAATGATTATTCTTTTGGACTCCTGCTTCTAGACACCTGGTGAATGTAAGTCCAATATTTATGCTCTTTTATACAGTAGTTTGAGTTTCAATAGCTGTTAAATACTCCACTATGCTCACCAGATAACTTTGTTTCCTGTTTGATGCTGACCAGGGAGCGTATAGTGGGCTTTTTTTCTGAAAACAACTGCCTGCTATGGCCACAAAGTAACGCAAAGACAGCAGGTTGGACAACTAAACAATGAGCTGAAAGTCAAAGCCAAATCATGACACAAAGACACTGATATTCAATCTCTGCTCACAGAAGACCACGTTTTATCAGCATCAATTTAATAAAGCTATAAATGATCTCAGTGAAGGGGATGAGAATCTGTAAATTAACCACTACTAAGTGTCCCTCCTTGGGGGAAAGAACCAGTAAAGTGCTCAAGAATCTCTTGGTTTTAACCACACTGTGATGTAATACAGTGAATGAGTGAGGATGAGCTGATTAAAAGGCTTATAATAAAAGAGGATATACTGTACAGTATTGTGGAGGAAATACATTATGACTTTCTAAAGGCCTTAATTTTTGGAAACAGATTGAATAATTTTTACTCTATTTGTGTGGGTGAGCCTACTGTTGAAGTACAAGATGACTAATATACTATTTATTAGATGTCAATGCAGCAGGACAGTGGGATAATAATTCTACACATTTAATAAAAAACACAGCTGGTTTTAGAATTTATGGAGAGCACCCGGAGTTTTCTTCAGAAAATTAATAAAACACGTTATTATCTAGTTCATTTGTTTCTAAAGGTAAGCTCCCTATTGTGAACCCAAACTCTTTGCATCAGGTCACTTATGGCGCACCAATGACTGACGATGAATATGCCAAAGTAGAGCTGGAAGACAGAGGCGAAGAGGGCGAAGGCCACGGTCCTCGCCCCTATGGTGAAAAAGTGCCACAGCATCTGGGCAATCACGGCCTTGTAGGACATGGGCAGCTTGTCATCGCGGGAGTCCCGAAGAACCTTCTGGTAGGAGGCAATCATCCAGGCCAGAGAGACGAGGGAGGCTGAGGCCGAGAGACCTGAAGATACATGTGAGGACACGTAGAGAGAGAGTGAGAAAGAGACATAAATAAGTTGAAGATAAATAAGAAGAAAGGAAGAGGCACAAAAAGAAAGGCACACATCCACAACGGCTGACATTTTAAACACCAGTACATAGTTTCCTGTCACATTATCTGTTATACCTTCATATAATCATTGTGCCCAGATGTTCCCAATGTGGAGTCATTTTATCAGCTCTAAACACACACCAGTGATTGATACAACAATACTGGGTTCACTCCTGGTCAATATCTCTATAACAGTATGCAATTACAAATCCTGTACATTTATTATCATCTTTTTCTTTAAGCCAAAGCTAAAAAAAAAATTAAGCCAAATAATTTTAAAAACATGTGTTTGGGTAATTAATAAAAAATATCAATACTTAGGGCTGACTGCAACAAAAATCAAGACACTCTTCATTTGTGAGATTCCATTCTTTAGTTTTATTTATTTATTCTTACTTTGTTAGTCCACTTTTATTTCTAATGGCAGATTGGATTCTACTGAGCAAACAGTCCAACTTGTTCTCAAAAAATAGTTGACTTTCTAATATTGTATATCAATTGCAGGTGTCAAGAAGCTGCTATCAATATGAGGAAAACTCCCAAAACATCCAGGAATGGTGGGATGTCTGCAGTGCTATCTGTAAATGTCATCTCCCCTACGCCTTTTGTGCTCATGCAGTCCCGTATGGAGGTGGGACAGTCGCTGTGGTAGTTCTGGCCAGGTCCACTCTACCTGTCCTCTACCTGATCTAAACTCATGTACAGTATTTTGGTTTCATCTGACCAAACAATATGCTGTCAATACTCGCCCGGCTTCCTTTCATGGTCTTAGTTTAATCTTGGTGCTGTTTTGTGAGCAGTGATTTTCTCCTTGGATGCCTGTATAGAGGCTGACTTCATGCACTTTCCTTCAAACTGTGTGACCACACACAGACAGCAGTTTCCACAGATATTCCTAGTGTCAAATCGGATGTTTTTACCCATGTGTTTTTCATCACAAGGTTGTGTAAATAGTGAATTTGTGTGTGGCTTCATTCTTTGCCACACTGTCCTCCTGTATTTAAAAAAAGCCATTTTTGCCAGCAGGTTATTATAATCAACAGAAACATGTTAGAGTTAGGCGATCTCTAGAGAGTAAACCATAATGAACAAAATCCAAATTAGGAGGAGGCTGCTGTGGGTGGATGCATCAGAAAACAAAACACAGGACTTTCCCATTGTTTTTTTTCCTCCATGACCATTCAACTACATAAATTATTTAAATCATGGCAACAACGGTTCTTTTAACCCAAACAGATGAACTTTTCCTAAATCTAAGTAGTTTTTGTTCCATAATTGTGTTTATGCTTGTTTCCATGATGAAAAAGGACTGGTAAGCCTGTCATTGAAAGGCTCCCATGGGTCATATTCAAACATTGGGATAAGTGATGTATATTGCTGTTTAGTTCAGCGGCTGCCTTGTTGTTTTTCCAGGAGGGCTGCTTTTCATATATACTGTATATCATCGCTGTAGCTGTGTTGCATATCAAGTCCTACAGCCTTGTTTCTAGTTCAGGTAATTCCTGACCATGTGGAGCCATGTTGCATCAGACACAACCACAGGCAAAAACTGAGAAAGCTGTGGTGCTCACAGTTTTTTTAACCTTGTTCATGCACTTAGCCTTAACTGGAAATCACAGCTGTACAAATCTCTGTTACTTTGAGTTTCTTTGGGGCCAGTATTTTCCTTGCAGTCTAGCTAACCAGTTTGTTTTTAATTGTACATAAGATCAAATACCTACACATCATCTTAAAAATAATAGTTATTATTAGATGGTACAATCTGAATCATTGAACATATTGATTGCTGATTCACAAGTCTTTACTGAGTTTTGTTAAATACTGTATTTACATACTGTATATTAGCTGATAAGGAACTTCAGCACAGAAACACCATTCTCAATCTTAATCCAAGGTCCTTTTTACTGGAGCTTTTAAGTGCATCTTGCAGTCTGACAACCATAAAAATCGACCAGAGTTCACTGAAGAAGACAAAAGTGAAAGCTTCGAAACAGCTATTAAGTTGCTAGTCAGTTTAGAATAAGTGCGATTTTTACAAATTTAGGTTATCAAAGAACACTGACAGGTTGTACTGTTTATATTGTGTTTGAACTCTACATCCTCATCAGTACATACTGCTCATTCGACTCTCCAAGAAATTACATTTATGTATATACAGTATATACAGTAAGTACAATGAATGTATGTATCAAATTTAATGACCAGTACTAATTTGGAGATAATCTGATACTAGACCAATTGCGCTAGCATGACGAAAATCACAGAGTGGAAAAATAGGTTTTTTCTTTCAATACAACCAATGTAATGTAATGTAAATATTAAATAAATAATTAGCTGATGCCAAACTGCTAATATAACCCCTTTAAACACTTACTGGTGATTAACGCTGAAAACCACCTCTAGTTGTAACATTACCAGTCAAACACACTGAATAATGTATGTGTTCGCTCCTTACTCATTCAAATGAACCTGAACCAGTTTCTACTGAAGTCAGTGATCATTAGCCTGTGCACGTAACAGGGAGGCCCACTGTGCACTCCCAGGGCACAGTTTAACACATTAAACATTCATGTGTATTAATCATGCAGTCTTGTCTCAAATTAGCCATGAAGCACACGGAGAAGGCAGTAAAATGTGAGCCTGTGCCGATATTTCATTCCAATGTCATTTTGATCCTTTGGATGTTGTTTATGACGAGATCATGGAGAAACTGAGTATATGTAGAAACTTACAGATATTTGATATTGGTAAGGTATTAACTTTTGGTTGATTCATTTATCTTTTCTATATATTTTCCACTGAGTAACACAAAGTGTTTGTACATATTTTAGATCTTCTTTTGTATAATATTGATTATTATGTGATGTTTTGTATTATCTCGTGTATTCAAAATGATGAAATGATGTCTATCATGTGACTAGCACTGACCAATGGCCATTGAGTCAAGACACCCTTTAAAACACGCACCTATCACAGATGATGACATGAGTGAGCCCGACAAAGCAGTGATGAGGAACACATTGCTCACGATTACGTGAACCATTTAATAAAGGTTTCATACCTGGACATCCACGGTAGGCTTTGGAGTTAGGATAATAATAATCACCTTTATTTGGCCAAGTATGTTACACACAAGGAATTTGTTTCCGGCACAGAACCGAGGCAGCCATCTGCGACGTCAACTCAACTGATGGCTCTAATCATTGGGGGCAACTTAGGGGTTCAGTGTCTTGCCCAAGGACACTTTGATAGCAGGCACCGAGATTCGAACCTCCAATCCTCTGGTTGGGAAACGACTGCGCTACCCACTGAACCAGAGTCACCCACAGTTTTATAAATTTGTGATACTAGAGAGTCCTGCTTCCCTTCAGCACCCAGTTGGGTGGATAGTAAATGGTCTTATACTTGTAGAGAGCTTTTCTGTGCATTGCAGTACACTCAAAGAGCGTTCACACTATTTGGCCATTCACCCATTCGCACTCCCAAATTCATACACTGGTGATGTCACCTGAACAGGATTCAGTGTCTTGCCCAGGGACACTTTGATATGTGGAATGGACAAGCCGAGAATCGAAATCAGTTAGGAGACGACCCACTCTACCTCCTGAGCCACAGCCGCCCCCTGGATGAGCAGTCTACATTGTCTCTGGCTGTGCATCTTAACTCACTACAGATGCTTAACTTAGTAAATTACAAAAGTATAATTACTGGTACTGAAAAAAAATTCTACTTTGAAAATGACTCAGTTTCAGTTTTTAGGTGCACTGACTGTATTATAAAATTTACATGGGCTAAAGTTGAAAACAAAAGTACTTTGTCACCAGTTAAGCTCTGGGCAGTTCCCTTAAACAGGGCTTCATCCTGTTAATTGCATGGCCAAATCCAAGTGAGGCTATTTGTCTTTATTCAGACCAAATGATAGCATTAAATCCTTTATACAGTATGTAATACTTGTCTTTGCTGCTGGGAGTGATGCTGGATAACACTGGATGCAGAATGTTTGTATATTATGATTTCAAGTTTGAACTTTTTTCATGCCAGAGCTTAGAAAGGTGACGCTGAATCAGATTTTTCCATCTTATTATTGAAGCAAAATCATTTACACTGAGGGAAATATTCATGTATTCATATTGAATCAACTTGAATTTAAGCATTTGCACCTGATTTCAGCAGTGACAAGTATAGAGACAGTCCTCTTGAGGGTAACCTGCTGCAGTCATGTGCTGTACTGTAGCTTTGCTACATGTGAGTGCAGCATTTTACACACTAAGAATATTTGGCATTTCCTTAAAGCAGCATAATCCACTTCTCTGTTGTTCATCTTTATGATCAGTTTGTTCATGAGCGTTCAATAAGTGTCAAAATACAGCTTAACAGACCCCTACTATGTCATTCTATTGATGTCATCGAACCCCCAGATGTTAGACCCTTATTACACTGTAGAAAAGGTTGGAGAAGTTTCTCTGGATGTTTTAATACTTAAAATGTCCTAAAACCTCTGATATAGTGATTCCCTTTCATAAAAATTGGTGACTTTGGAATTGGAATACGACATGAATTATGGTTAGTCAGTGCTACAAAGTGTGGTTTCCATCCAGTACCAAGTAAAACCAGGACCAGAATCACTAATATCAATACTTTTTATTATTATAAGCAGCCAATGTACTGTGATGTAAGGGAGAGAAATGTGGTGTGATTTATACTGTGACTGCCTTATTAATAGGCTACTTCTAAATATATTTTAATTACTACCAAATAGTTTGCCAGATACGGAGCATTACTGTTTACTAGTCTCTGTTAATGACTTTAATCACATGCATGTTTAAACACAATAAATTCACTTCAAGTTCATAATGTGAGTTCTCTGAACTAAAGAGGTGATCACTGTTCACGTGCACACAACAACTGCACAGATGCAAATAATGCAGCACTACAGAGAGCGTTTATGTGCCAAGGATGTGATCTACCTGGATATCCACTCTATACTCAAAACACTACTTCCTATCAGTAATATTGATACTTTGGCTGCAGCCAATAATCCCACTGAACCACCTTGTGCTGACATAATAGTTTATAAGTCAGATCAAGGATAGGACATGTTTCCTAGAGGAAACAAACCAAAGAAGGTACATGAGAACTGGAGCCAAAACAAAGAGGATTAAGCAAAGAGGGTGACAGATGTAGTTTGTTATGCTTGGAAAGCTCAGCAAATCCCAACATTTGAGAAACTGGAACTAGCTAATGTTTGTGGGATTTGTATCTAGCAGATGATTTGAATGATTAATTGGCAGCACTGATAGATGATTCATACAATTGATTGAGTTATGGAATAATCAATGAGCCTTAGCAGCTCTAATGTAATATACTCTAGGCTGTGTGGGAGAATGTGCACAGTCATGAATGCTTATTAACAGACACTAAAATAGTCACTAAAATTGAATTTTGTGTGCAAGATCTAGCACGTATCTTTATGGGGGCCACTTTAGTTGTAGGCATCAAGAGTGAGGGCATTATTGGTAAATGAGGACATCCATCCATCCTCACTTCTTCACTCTGGTTTGAGATTTCAGGCTTAGATAAGGTTAGAAACTGTGTCTGGTGTGTGTTACATGTCAGTATATTTTAAGGCATTAAAATGAGTGTGAGCTGTTCTACTGCTCACATGTGTGTTGTGTGTACGTATTTCTGTAGGTTTTATATGTTTGATCCATGAATGTGTGTTTCATGCAACTTAAATATGTGTGTGACATTTGATTTCTATGCTGCCAGGTGTGTGTAAACAATGAGTGTGTGTTCAATTCGATTCGATTCGATTCACACACAAACGTGTGTGAATCCGAGTCAGATGAAGAGAGGGAGATTGAGAGAGTGAGGATTGAGAGAGTGAGAATGTTTTGTTTTATTCATCAAAGGCCAATCAGCTTCTTGTTAGAGATGTATGAATAAAGCATAGACTCCCCTACTGATGTCTGCGCTCAACACACACACACACACATTGTGTTTCCATCACTTCAGGGGACATTACCGAAACTTACATGTACTTCCTGTAGACTGACCCTAACCTTTACTATAACCACTACTTGCCTCACCTTAACCTCATTGTTCTAAAATGTAATGATTTTCATTTTGGGGACTTGCTTTTTGTTTTTAAATAACTTATTTTAAATAAAGATCCAATATTTAACCAAACTCTAGAGAAAAGTTGAAAAACTGAAAACAGATCTGAACTTTTTCTTCTTCTTTCCTCTCCCACCAGTCATTCCCTGACCCTTCACATTTATCTTGTGACCAATTGGAGGGGCCCAATCCCTAAATTGGGAAAAACTGACCTAAACTTGCTATCTATTAACAAAGTAGTAAAAACCAGCTCCACCTCGACCAGCTACAGCAGTAAAATGCTGATATAAGGACACATATACACAGTACAGTACACATATACACTGTAAAACCAATAGAAAGGAAGGGCAAAACTACAAACATAAAACACAACTTTCCCTTTCAGTTTCATCAATTCCGGTGAGAAATTAAGCAATTTGTCAATATAAACTTTATAAACGTTTTTTCTCAGGAAAGGAGAACAGCATCTTTCTCACCTTGCAGTGGGAGGACTGCGTTTCCGTGGATCATGATGCTCAGCTGCAGGACCAGCTGCGGTGCCGACTTCAAGAAGGCCTCCAGGAGACGGAGCATTGTGATGTCAGCGCTCTCAAACAGCCGCCAGTGGAAGTGGCGGCGTTGCCCGGTACTGTGCCAGCGGCTCTGGGCGCCCAGGTACAGGGCATGGATGTACCTGTGAGCCAGAAACAGAGAGAGACAGGTTGTAAACCTGTGCCCCAGGTTCATTTATCATTCCTGAAGCTCCAGTTCTTTTGGAAGATTTCCTGGAGATATTTAATGGCAAAACTAGATTCCACACAAGTGGAATCTTTGCTGCTACATACTTTCTGAAAAAAAAAATGAATTAAATTTCTCAGACATCAAAAGCACAAACAAATTTCACATGATGAATTTTTAAAAATGCTCATCCAGTCAGACAGAGCGTGAGAGGATCTGCCAGGAAGAATGGGACACATGCTGCACAGACTTACTTACCATAGAGCTTCTGTAAATATTTTGTAAAGGTGAGATTTCAATTTTTGATTTTAAATACATTTTCAGAAAATTCTAAAAACATTTTCAATTTGTCATTATAGGTGATTGAATGTAGACTGATGGGTCTAAAATGTAATGATTTGCTGCTACATACTTTCTGAACTGGAGCGTGAGAGGATCTGCCAGGAAGAATGCATATGAGGACGCAGGGACTCTAGAGGTTATAATTAAATATACAGCAAAAAAAAAAGAGTGTGCACCAAGTGTGCTCAGCTGCTGACCACACTGAAAAGCCACTGGCAACCATATATGCATCTTCAAAAATCACCAATGATAATCATTCAAATGGAATGAAAACAATATGATCATCACTCAGTCAAAGCCTGTTTGGAGTTCTGCCACTACCCAAATATAACGGAGGTGAACAGAGTTTAGCTGGCGCTCTTCAGAATGTCTCAAAAGCTGTCAGCATGATGTTCTTAAGATGAACAGTTAAAACAAAAACAGTTCTGTGTAATTTGGTTGAACTGCTACAAAGTCTTTAGCTACACTTTTAAGAAAAACCCTGGCAGTTGTTTTTGTGGAGATGAGAAATATTAAAATGAGAAAACTAATTGCCAGCACTTCTAGGACGTGCACAGGTGTTTACATCTTTCTCTCCTTTCCAGTTAAGACTTACGAGGATTTCTAGAAAGTGTGAACACTACGACCTCTTTAGAAAACAGTGCACATACAGAGAGTAATAATTTATTTACAAGTGAAATACATAAAACTTCAACACAGGAGGTTCTTTGATCACGCTGAGCTGTTTGTGTATAACTAAGGCAGAGGGTGTTTCAGTAATGCTTGTACTTTTGCTTATAGAGTAGCAATCTTCATTTGAGGAACTCAACACAAAGACACAGCAGAATCAACAACTAAATGACACTTTTAGAAGAAACTGTGAACTGAACTGTTCTCCTGGGAGTGTTGTGTGTGAAGCATCTCTACCTTCACCTGTCACTGCTCAGCTCTGATGTGACACTGATGTCAGTGATGGCATCAGTCAAAGGACCGCAGCAGGTCACCAGGCATATGCTTTTAACCTGAAGACAAATATTGATGTAAAAAATGGAGGATCGGGAGGCTAGTAGAGCATGATGTCTGTCAAAAAATCTATAGAAAACCAAGAAAACCTTTGAAAAACTGGTTTATAGCATGACTTGGAAACAGACTTACAAGACAGAAATTCTTTTATACCGAAGGTGAATAACATGCCAACATAAAATATAATGTATATTTGTGAAATAAAGGTGCTGTATTAAAAGTATTTCCCTTTATTACTGAAGTTACCACTCAGTGGTTACAGCCCATTTCCCACTGTCATTTGTAGAACAACAACACAGACACAAACACTCGAGTTGATTTCTACAGGAAACAAATTCAGATTCTCATGGTATTTACATATTGTTTTTCCTCTTGCTATATGAAAACTGGGATTTAATTGTGGATAGAAATGACAATACTGTTTGGTTTTCTGTCTCACCTCTTCGAGCCTCTACAACCCTTCAAATGGAAAAGTCTGCAAGAGGAAAACACAACTGAAGATGAAGAGACACCAAGTATTGCTGGAAAAGAAAAATGTGCCTGAAATGCATGTGGTGTCAACATGTATTGGGGGAGGGACTGAGGCATCATGGGAGGAGAGGATGGTAGGCAGTAGTAGTAGTACAGCAGGACAGACAGGTTGCTAGAGGAGCAGCGGAGCTCACTGAGGAGTGAGACAGCGCTCACTTCCTTCGCTTTTGCATCCCCAAGCAGATTCTAAATAGGTGGGTAAAAATAACCCAGCAGTGTACACACACACACACACACACACACACACACACACACACACACACACACACACACACACACACACACACACACACACACACACACACACACACACACACACACACACACACACACACACACACACACACACACACAGAGTGACAGACAGGTAGGAAGGCCAACAAGGCAGCCTGGAAATCTCTAGCTCTGCAAATAATTTGTTGGCCAAGCATGCTGGCACTCCATTCAGTCCTTACATCTCCCTGTCTCTCCACATTTGTAGCTCTCTGTTTGCCTTACTGTATTTTTTTTATCTTTTTGATTTTGGATTTTCTTCTCTGTTCTTGCCCTTTTGGTCATTTTTTTTTCCGCTTTGAGCTACATTTGCTAGGTCAGCGGGTCCAGCTCTCTACAGCTCTGGGATGGATTGCCATGAAATTTACTACAAACATTCACTGTGCTCAGACGATAAATCCTTATGATGTCAGTGAACCCTTGACTTTTTGTCTGACCTTTATGTTATTGTTTTTTTAAAGGTCACAGACAGCATGTGTTTTAAACCGGTCCCCTTATTTCTTTATCTGATACATTTTGTTATTTGTCTGCCTCTCATTTCATCTTTCATCTTCACTATCACTGTCTTTGTCATCCCCTACCCTCCATCTTTCTTTCAGGGTTACATCTTCCCTTTCTCTCTCAATTTATCTTCAAATTTCTCTGTCTTTTCTGCATCCTTTCCTCAGCTTGTTATCTCATTTTGTTTCTCTCTCAATCCAATTTCATGCAGCTATTGTCTGTCCCTCTCATTTCTCTCTCTCCCTCTCTATCTCTCCATCCAATTTATTTTCTTCTTCTTCTCTGGTGTTCTTTCTCTCTTAAGCTTCCAATCTATCAACTTCATATGAATCATCTCCTCCTCCTCTCTACTCTGACAGTACCTCTTCTCCTCCCCTGTATGCTTTCTACTCTTCTTTATCCTTCTTCATCCCCTCTTCCAAAACCCTTACTATCCATAAGGCAGTGGTTGAACTGCTGAGACCCTGAGCATTTGTGAAAAGAGCTTGTGTGTAACACCTTAGTTCTAATGGGAAACCAGGAATGAACCTTAAGGAGAGGCACTCGCACTCAAGTTAAATTGTTACACACAATTCATTTAAATCTCTTTTAAATGAATAATACAAGTCAAGGGATGAAACAGCGATGAGCAACAACAAAGCAAAGATTTGTAATGTAAATGCAATCACAAGAAGTAGCAGCAGCGTGCGCTCCCATCAGGATGCTGAGAAAATTGTTGTGATTATTGTGTCCACAACATGAAGCGATTTTCAATACAGTGTGTTTCCTTTTGCTTTAGTTTTATAATAACACTTGGAGTAAAGTCAGTAGGAAAACTGATTTGTTTACAAGTACTTCAGTGCAGACAGTTGCACTAGTTCAGTGTAGGTAGAGAGTTAGCTGTCAAATTTGTGTTCAGAGAGTTGCAAATTCTTATTTCTTATAAGTGGTGGCAGTTGTCATAGAGGTAGTTGTGGTGTAATCGCAGTGTCTCCTATTCACAGTTCATAACTGTTTGTCAGTGAGGGCTAAGGCTTGGCTACATTTGGGCGCAAAAAACATAAAATAAAATTCAAAATTACAACTTTCTTAAGGTTAGGAGACTTTTGTTATAATGGTTACAATAAAAAAAAAACTTGTACTTGTTCGGGAACCTAACCAGAGTGAAGGCCAACAGCTGTAAGAAGCCTCTTTGTGTGCAAAGCCACAGCTCAAACTCTGGACACAATCTGTTTGAACTCCTCCCCTCTGGATGGCGTTACAGGTCACTGTGCACCAAGACAACCAGGCACAGGGACAGTTTCTTCCCCCAGGCCATCACTTTGATGAATTCTTGACCAACGACAGTATGACTGGACAATAACCCTCAGTGCAACACCTGTAAATATACCTCGTATAGATTATACAGATTCATACAGGTCTCTAGTTTTAAGTACTCTGTTTTTATTCCTATTTATCTCATCTCAATGAGCATTCCTTTGTCTGTCTGCATTGTTTACTGCCCGTTTATACTGCTTATTTTATTATATTAGACAGCCTTATGTTGGTTTACTGTTTACTTGCCTATTGCTTGGGGATATGTACACACACATTGAGAGCTGATGTATCAGAGTCAGATTCCTCATGTGCCCAACATCACTGTTGAACCTCGCTAATGCTCATGCATCTGAAATATCTGAAACCAGGAGAGTGGATGCTCTTATAGGAGCAGATTAATGCCCATGGTTTTGGAGCGAGATGCTCAGCTACCATGGCTGGAATGTTACATGCTTTTTGCCTTTGTATTCTATCACCCTTTCTGAGCCTTCAACTTGAATGATGACTTGTAAGCATTTCCATTTTTACAATGATAACCATTATTATATCAATTAAAGACATCAATTCATGGGCCACAAATTTCTCATCATTATGGCTCATTGACTTGAAATTGATCAGCAGATGCACATTCAGGACATGAAGGGCAATAAACAAAGGTCAGGAAACAGATATTAGAGTCAGTAGTAATTAATGATTTGTTTACCTGAAGGAACTAATGAGACTAATGATAACCACCATGGAAATACAAATGAATAGTTGGCCGTTATCTTAAATCATTCATTCATCTCCTAACGACTCATTTTATAATTACTCTTTAAATGACTAATGACAGCTCTTTATTTTTGATGTCATAAATCTAAATCTTGTAACCACAGTGACATCACTTAAAGTCAGGCCAGTACTGTAAATCCTCTGCTGACGAGAGAAAGCAGAGCAGGAGAGAGAGATAGCTGGGGAAACAAGTGTTTATTAATAACTCATCCCTGCAGTTGATCAAGGGCTTGACTGGAG